GCCATGGAGCCCTGCTAAGCTACTTGCCAGGCGAGTGTGGGAGAGCCAGGGTTAGTGGACATCTGACCTTAGTGGTGTGTGGACGCGCTGAGTGCCCGCCCCTCTGCAGTGGTCTCCGGGCACAGGGCTGCAGGGACTTCAGGGGCTGGTGTCCCGTGCAGACTCGACCCTCCCCACTGCGCTCGCTCTCTGTGGCCCTCTCGTGCCAGCTCCTTCTTCTGCACGGAGCAGAGCTGGCTAGAAGAGTAAGGGAGATGAGAGGGAGTACTGCGCAGCACTCAGGAGCCCGGTCCGGGCGCAGCACCCTTCTTCTGTGGCCTCAGCACTTCCTGTTTACTACCTGTGCCATCCATGCAGGCCATACGCCACCCTCCCGAGGTGGTTTTCTGACCTGGGACACCACCGCCTGGGAAGAAGTGGAGGCGTCATTGCTGGCTGAAACACAGTCCTAGAACCCACAAGAGCAGATTGAGACATGAATGCAAACATGAGAGATCTGCCCACCACTAAAAGACAGTAGGCAGACCAAGGAAAAATACACCAGAAGGTATTTAGGATTTGTATCAAAAGGCTAATGTCCCTGCTATGCTGTGCACCGTCTCTCAAAAGCGATAGAAGTGGGAAAGAAGTCAAGCTCACTGAGCAGGAAATACTGAGGGAAAGGCGCAGTCCTCATTTGATGTAAGATCAGTGCGGATGAGAATCAGTGCAGCCCCTGTCCCTGCTGTCATGTGCCAGGACCGGTGCTGTGACCATGTGCCATGTTGGGGCTGAGCAGAAACAGGTGCTGCTGGGCCGGTGGCTGGATGCTCATGGGGCAGTTGGCAGGTTCCGGCAGTTACCCAGGCTCATACCCCCACTCAGGACGTGGGGGCTCACACGTGTCCTCATGGGAGCTGCCACGTGTCCCTGTGAGGTTGCATTAAAGACTGGCACTGAGCTCAGGGAACCCCAGCAGGCAGTAGGCCAAGTGGAGTAGTATACAGAAGATTGAGATGAGGAAAGAGAAGCAAAACAAGGTCGGTCATCTCCCATTGCCTTCCATGTGCGTGACAGTTCTCCGGGCAGTAAACACGAAACCGTTAACCATGGCCATTGGGGGTGGAGGAAGCTTTTTTTGGGTCCTGGGGATCAAACTCAGAACCTTGTGCTTGTGAGGCAGGCAGTGGAACCACTGAGCTAAATCCTTGGCCCTGAAAGCTTTTTGTAGTAGGCTGACTTCTGCTGTTTGAAGTATATTGTTGCCTATTAAGATTATGTAAACCAGACTGGGAGTTGAGCCCTGGGAGAGGCTGTGTGTTTGTGATGGTTTTGTGATTGAGACAGGGCCAAGCTGTGTTGGGGTCCTGTGATCCCATGTGGGATCTGCAGAGGTCGGGTGTGGGCACTGTGCTTTGGGGGGAGTTTTAGCTGTTGCCCTTGCCTCCTTGTTTGGAAAGTTTTAATTGGTATCAGTACATGCTTGCAAGGCATGGTGGTCACAGTCATCCTGAGGAGTTACTACCTATACTTAGCACATCTCAGTTCCTTTACTTCCCTGTCCTCTCCCCTCCGTTTCTTTCTCTCTTTTTTTTTTTTTGCTATATCAGGAATCAAACCCAGGACTTTGCATAGTGTCATTGAGCTAAATCCCCTCCCCTCCCCTCCATTTCTTGATTCCTTTCCTATTTGCGAAAATTTTACCTCCCTGTTTCTTGTTTGTTTTTTTTTGTTTTTTTGTTTTTTTTGGTACTGAGGATTGAACTTGGGTCTTTGTGCTTGCAAGGCAGGCAGCAGAACCACAGCTAAATCCCTGGCCCGCCTGTTATCTTTTATTTTGCTCCATATTTGTACTTTGGGTTTCTCATGTAGGAAAAACCTCATGATATTTAAGCTTGTGTGTCTGATTTACTTTACTTAACGTTATAGTCTCAAGGTGCATCCATTTTCCTACACATGATCCAAGTTTGTCCTTCATGGCAGGGTAGCACTTCACTGTGTGGAATCACCACATTTTCCCAAGCCATGCTGCTATAAACATGGTGTGCGTGGGTCACATAAACATGATGTCTGATACTTTGGGGAAGATACGTGGAAGGGGAGTAGCTGGTTCAAATACAGCTTCTACTTCTGGTGTCTTGAGGCTCCTTTGCTTCCTGGTGAGGTCACCCTGCCCACGTAGAGGTCTGTGCACTTTGCAGGCTGTGTCTCTGCCCAGAAAGTGGAGTGTCAGGACACTGTCGCTTTGCTTGTGTTCACCACAGAGCCTGGTGATGGCGGCTCTGGGGCTCAAGAAGGAGAGACTGCGTGCCCCCATGGTCACAGAAGCCCCTTGTAACTGTCCCTCTGTCCCTTCAGCCAGAATTTGAGGCAGGTGCAGTGGCACTTGGTGCGAGACCCCGGCTGCAGAGGGTGTGCTCCAGGAGCCAGGGCTGAGCCTGGATCCTGCCGACCCGCGTGGCCCTGCTCCCTGGGCGCGCAGTGTACCTGTGATGAGGTCTGGGACAAACAGTGCAGTAAGACAACAGTAACGAGTCCTAGACTGGCCAGCACGATGGCACCATTGTAAGACTGAGACTGTGCTTTCTCTCTCTGGATACTGTACCGTGCTGTTGATCCTGGCATCCTGGGCCTATTTTATTCTTTTCATATTGTAACTTTTTACCTACTCACCTAAAGGAAGCATTTTGGGCATTTCTTAGGCACCCAAATTGCCAGCCCTCTGCTTCTGCACTTTGGGGCCATAATGTTGTGACCTGAGCCTGAGCTACTTTTGGGTGCTCGCATTGTAAGCTCTACCCCAAAATAAGCCCCGATTAAGATTGCCAGCCAGGTGGATGGGTTTAGTGTATTTGTTGTAACACACGATCGACATATTGAATTATAAAATAAGAATATTAATATATAATTGAATGTAAATAACATTGACATTAATATTTAAAATAAATGATAATATAAATTATAATAAATATTTGTAAATACCCACGTGGCATCTCTGGACAAGAGGTAAACACCTCTGTAAACAGTTGAGCTCGAGACTTCTCGCCAAATGACCAATCACAGCACTCACGTAATGCACGAGTAATGTGCACACTTGATAACAAGTGGATGTGGTCATGTCTAATCCGCATCATGTATAATTCAATGCATCCTGTATAGCTGGGCGTGGAGGCACACGCCTGTCATCCCAGCACTCAGGAGGCTGAGGCAGGAGGATCAACATGAGTTCCAGGCCAGCCTGGGTTACACAGTAAGGCCTTGTCTGAAAACAACAACAACAACAAAAATTCAGGCTTTCAAGAGTTATGATGATGTACTAGGTGGAGAGGTCATTGACTCTACAGTCGGCCCACGACTCATGAAGGAGTTCCGTTATGAGAAGACGTTCAGAAGTCGGATTAGTTCCTAAGTCCAACAGAGTGAGATTTCCACGCCTTTGTCACAAATATACAATGTAAAACATAGAGCCAGACACCCAGACAAGTGCTGTACATAAACCAGTTTTACTTTCTCAAGTCCCCTTACAGTGGTGGTACAGTGCGGTGCTGTACAGGAGGTGGCATTCTGTGGACTGAGGAACAAGATGCGCGCTCCGAACTGGAGGAGGGCAGGCGGGAGGCCGGAAGTGGGAGACCGAGTGCAAGGTGGAGTCGGCCACACCTGAGGCTACTGGCGCATAAGGATCGTCAGCTACCTCTGAGATTTGTTTGCACCCACGAATGTTCATAATGCTAGGTCCGTTTGTACCTGTGGAAGTTCACAACTTGAATGTTCCTAAGTCAGGGACTTACTGTATTTGATGAATGTAGGTTTTTGTACTTGAAAAATGTTGATTGTTGTGCATGAAAAGATAAGGCATCTCCTGAAAATAAGCCCTCTTGCATCTTTTGGAGCAAAATTTAACATAAGATCTCGTCTTACTTTTGGGGAAATAGGGTGTTAAGTTAATCCAGCACAGGTGCTGCCACTAACCTAGGTGGCTTCTGGGCGGTTGGCAGATGCAGGTGCGTACTGGACAAGGGCAGGGTGCATGTCCTGAGAGGGGCGGAGCACCATCAGAATGCTGTGCAGTCTAAAGCATGTGGAGTTGTTTGGCGTTTTCTGTGGAACACTTTTGGAAGGTGGTTGACTGCCTGCAAACCGCTGGTAAAGCTGTGTTGTACCCGGTCTGAAGGAGCTGGGCCATAGCCTGCATCTGGGGAAGGCTGGGTGGCTCCCGAGCGCCCTCCTGACCGTGTTGTGGCCTGTCCCAGCCCTGTCCCTTGGCCTTTATGGGTCCTCCAAGGCCTCTCCCACTCTCCTGCCTCTGCTTCCTCCCTCTTGGGACTCACCCGGAGAGGCGCCGATGTTGCTGTCTTAACACCTAGAGACGCCAGCCGCCCACTCCTGCGCCTGAGGGACCTGACTGTTCTCCCAGGCCCACTGCCCTGTGCTTCTGCTGTCCTGAGCACCAGGACTAGGGTGCTCGCTTGCCTGCAGTGACCTCCCACTTCCCTGCAAGGACTTCCTGAGCCCTGGCCCCGCTCCAGTATTGCCCCCACTTGTACATTCCAGTCTCGGGTTTTGTTTGTGTTTTTTCCCCTCGGGAGTGAACCCAGGACCTTTGCACTGAGCTACACCTCCAACTCTTTATTTATTTATTTTTCTGGAGATAGGGTCTCACTAAGTGTCTAAATTGCCTAGGATGGACTCAACCTTTTGATCTTCCTGCCTCAGCCTCCCAGAGTGCTAGGATTACAGACATGTCCCCATTCGGTACAACCTCACTCTCTGAAGTCTCCTTGGCAGACTTGTGTCTCCACAGCGTGAGAGCTGAGCCTGGAGGGCAGGTTCACACAGATGTCTCCCTGGTGTGTGGCCCTGCCCGTGCCTCTCGGTGGCGGGCGTGTGTAGGTGTGTGTGCACGCTGAGTGCGTTCACGTCAGCAGTCTCTGTGGGCACCCTGCACCCAGCAGTGCAGTCAGCCTTGGTGCCTGGGGTTTCTGCTGGGCCCCTCCTAACCTGCCTCTCCCTCCCTCCAGGTCCCGCAGGTTCCCGGTGGCGGGACTACGGTGCCTTGGCCGTCATCATGGCCGGAATCGCATTTGGCTTTCACCAGCTCTACAAGGTAAGCTGTGCACTGGGGCCTCCAGGCCGTGTCCCGCCTGCCTCTCCCTTCCATCCCTTCTCCTGGTCCAGGGCTGACGTGGGTGGTGGAGGTGGGCACTGATGCTGCCCACAGGCTGCAGGGCGTGACTGGAGTGGGGCAGCTGGCACAGTCAGCCGCTCTCCAGTCTGCTCCTGGGTGACTTGCGGCCTGTGTCACCGCCCGGGTCAGTTGCTCAGAGCGGCACCTGTCCGTGACTTGTGAGGGATGCAGTGACTCGGAAGTTAAGGTCCTGGATGCTGGAGCCAGCGGCCTGTGTGGTCCTGGGCCCCGCCTCCGAGTGGCTGTGTGGCCACAGGCTCAGTTCTCACCTGTAAAATGGGGACAGGGTTCTGACAGATGGCTTCTGCAGTGGCACAGAATCGCACCCGTGTGGCCTGTGCTCACTTTCATCCATTGCTCCATACATGATGTGCCAGAGCACTGTGACAGGGGCTTTAGCCTGGCTGAAATCCTAGCACCTGGGAGGCTGAAGCAGGAGGACTGCAAATTTGAGCTCAGCCTGGGCAACATAAGAGACCTTGTCTCAAATTTTTAAAGAGGGAGAGGGTGCCAGAGGTGTAGCTCATTGACCCTGGGTTTAATCCGCAGTACAGAAGAGGGGTGGGGGGAAGCTAATGCCCTAACATCTATTGCTAGAAGTGGACCTTTCCATGCAGAAGTCCTGAAGCAGAGTGTCCTGGGCCCTGTCGCTCTAAGCCAGGGTCTGCCTGTGCCCTGGGTCAGTGCCTCTTTGCGTCATGACCACAGGATGAGGCCCAGTGCCTCACTTCATCCTGGGGGGACCCAGTGGACCCTGAAATGTGGGTTTGGGTGACACCCACCCACCACTGTGTTTCCATGGTTCTCTTTTCTCCCGCCTGTGCTTTAAAAAGAAAAGACACCTAAATGGTCAGTTGTAAAAGTGACCCAAGAATGTGTAGAACTTCTGTTAACAGTGTCTTTAAATTAAATAAAAAGGGAGAGAGGTGGTAAGAAGCCGCTACGTCCCATACCGCTCCACACAGGTTGCGGCTGGGTCGCAAGTGTGGACCTTCCCTTGTCATTTCAGACCCCAAGATGAGCTTGTAGTTGGCTGCACGTCTGAGGGTTTCTTCACTTTCATCCTTAGGAAATTTTCCACCTGAAACGTCAGGCTACACATGATGAGTTTTGCCTCAGTTGTGGGTAATAACTCATACGGTGGCTGAAAAGCACTTTGCAAAATAGAAAATGCCTCTCTACACATGCTAAATGATGATCTTCACTTAGAGGCACTCGAAATGACTTCTCCCACAAACCCCTGTGAGAGCCCTTTTCCCTCCCCAGTACCCAACCCTTAATGGAGAAGTTTCCATCTTTCGCTTCCTAGCTGGGGCCCAAAGTTCTGCTTCCCAACACTGGCTGGGCTGCTGCACTGTGCCCACCCAGCACTGCCCTCCAGTGGGTCCTGAGCCGGAGGACTCCCAAGCTGTCCCAGGCCGCAGGGCTCTGTCTCTGTTTCTGGCTCCCCTGTTCCGTGGCCCTGCAGCTGCCAACTTGGCCTGCTTTTCCCCAGTCAGGACCCATTCTGACCTATCAGGCAGTTCTGCCTTCCCAGTCCTGCGGAAGTGGCCGCCGTGAACTCTGTATTCCCAGGATGCAGGCTTAGTTTAGGAGAGACTGAGGTGGCCTCTTCCTCAGCCCAAGGAAAACTATGCATTGTACCCTTGTGGAAGGACCAAGGGTCCTGGAAGTCTGTTGTTGATTTTCCTCTCCTTTCTCCAGAAGTTTTTTATTTACTTTTAAACATTTGTTTCTAAATGGGTGTAACAATTGGTTCATTCACGGGTTCAGAATGTTAGAGATTCAGAGGCCAGAAAGGCACCAATTTCTTGTGCCTCCTTCCACTTTCTGCCTGTCAGCTTTTAGAGCAGAATGCAGACTTCCTGTCATCGGAATGTCCTAGCATCCCTGAGAGGTGAGAAAGCCAAGGAGTGATCCATCCCAGCAGACGGCTGGGGAAGAGCCCGGGTGGGTGTGAGCCCAGGCTGTTCGAGAGCGTCCTGGGTTCTATCCAGCACTGCACAAAGATGGGTTTTCCTGGTCCCTGGCCCCCTCTGGCCCTTGTCTTTATCCAGGCCAAATGTTTTCCATCCATGTTGGTTTTTTTGGGGGTGGGGTACCGGGGATTGAACTCGGGTCCTTGCACTTGCAAGGCAGGCTGCCGAACTGCTGAGCTAAATCCATCCATGTTGTAATCGCAGTCTCGTAACTTTTCGAGCATCCTGTTCACTTATGGGGTGTGCTGGGTGGCAGGGACAGCCAGAGTGTGCTGCTGCTCACCCCCGCTCCTTGCAGAAGTACCTGCTGCCCCTCGTCCTGGGTGGCCGCGAGGACAGGAAGCAGCTAGAGAGGATGGCGGTGAGTCTCTCCGAGCTGAGTGGCAGCGTGGCCCAGACAGGTAAAGATTAATGACTCCATCAAGTCACCCCCCAAAGCCTTCTCCCGCAGCCCCTCGCGGCCCCCACCCCTCTCCTCCATCTCCACTTTATGTGGTGACTTCATTTATCTGCTCTGAGAATCTGTTCACATTTGCAAATGAAGCCGCCGTCATTTCGGTTTAATTTGAAATTGCTTGTTTACTGTCGGCGCGGCCTCAATTAATTATGTTTTTACGGAAAGGCTCCCAACCTCAGAATATTAATAAGGGGAATAAAATGACAGCCTTTCTAAGGGCTGTAAAGTTCATTTTTAATTTCTGCTTCTATGAGGTTTTCAGGGGGGTTTTCAGTGATTTTCCCCCTTCCCTCTAAGAATCCAGTGCAGGGTCAAGAGAGTCTGTAATTACTGTGGCTCCGGGGACCCTGGCCACCTCCTCTGTTATCGACTCCACAGGGCTGGCGCTCATTACCCGCTGCCCCAGTGATGGCCCAGATTAGCTGGGACCTGTCGCGCCAGAGGTGGCTTCTCTCTAAACTTGTTTGCTAGGTGAGGCTGTGGATCTAAAACCTGGAGGCAGGCAGGAGAGCCACTTGTCCCAGGCAAGAGTCCACATCCCTCAGGGTCACCTTTGTGGAGCCCCAGGAGTCCCCTGGTGCACCTGTCGTGCTGGTGCTGGGCCCCGGAGTCCTGGGACGGGGCAGGTGGGCGAGGGCTGGATGGAGTCCTGGCACCCGGCTTTGGGCTCTTGCTGCTCCTAGATGTGGCTGAGGCCCAAGCTGTGGCCCTGGGGTGGGGGGCCACCCCCGAGCTCCTGAGGACTCAGCAAGGCCCCAAGATGTGTGATGGGCGTGACAGGCACTGAGAGGCGACACATCACAGCCAGTGTGATGAGGAGAGGCTGTGGGCCAGTTACCACCGCCTCGCACACAGGAGAGGTGAAGAGGAAATACTGAGTTAGCCACGGGGTGGGGCTGCACCTCACTCGGGGAGCGGCAACGCTTGTGGCCCGAGGTGTGGCAAGAAGAGGGGACCTGACGGCACTGACGACACCATGCTCTCTTCCCCAGTGACCCAGGTACAGACGACACTGGCCTCTCTCCAGGAGCTGCTGAGGCAGCAGCAGCAGAAAGTCCAGGAGCTGGCCCATGAGCTGGCCGCAGCCAAGGTACTGGTCCCCACACCGGCCCAACTCAGCACACTCAAAGCTACTGCCGCAGTGCTTCTGTGAGCTGTCCTTGTGGGGCCCTCTGCCCCCGCTGCTGTCAGGGGTCACAGCAGGGAGGCTTTGCCGCATTTCACCATCCAGGCTGTCCTTCCTGTCACCACAGTGGCAGTCCTGTCCTCGAGGCTCTGGAGGCCATTGCTGTGGATGTGGGGTGTCTCTGCCTGCAAGTGAGGGTGCAGGTCATGGCCCTGCAGAATGGAGTCCAGGGACCAGAAGGGGACTGAGTGTGGTCGGTTTACCAGCAGCCCCACCCGGGCCCTGGGCTATACTGCAGCACACAGGTACTCTGGGTTCTCTAAAGGTAGATTTCCGGGCTCAGGGCCTCTATGAGAAATTGGAACCAACCAGGATTGGCTGAGGCAGTTTCCATCTGAGCAGTCCTGGCAGTGTTGGGTTGTAGGATTGCACTGCCTGAGTTAAAAACTGGTGCTGTCCCACCTGCTGTGTGCCCACAGGGCGAGTTACTTACCTTCTGTGAATCTTCCTCATCTGTGAAAGGGAGCTGTTGAGGCACTGTTTCTTCGGGCTGCTTATATGCTTAGGACAGTCAGTGCCCAGTACCAGCCCAGGTTTTGTGGTGCTGGTTTGGACAGGCAAGGCCCAGGAGGCAGTGGGCCCCGGGCTCTGTGACATCTTCTGAGGGTTTCCTCAAGCTGCTGTCCCAGTGAAAGCCAACCCTGTTGCACAGCTAGATTGTACACCCAAGAACATGGGCGTCTTTCCACCTTCCAGGACAGTCCCTTCCACTGTCCATCCCATGCAGGTGCTGCCTGCTTCCTCCAGCCGCTGGGGCATGGGTTCCCTGCAGGCAGGCAGGCGGGCATGAAGCAGCCTCTCTCCATTATCTTTTGGATTCGAGGCCTGCCAGTGGCCAGCAGCCATTCCGGAAATTGGAAAACTATTTCCAGGCCTCGCACATTAAGATTAAGACCACATGTTGAGTTGCGAGGAGGGCGGTCGGACTTGCTGACCCCTTCCCTGCTCCCTGTGTCAAAGCCAGGTCCCTGGCCTGGCATCCAATCCACGTGTGTGAGGACTTCAGTTACCCATAAACCAGGGTTCTGAGCCATGTTTTCTCAGCTGTAATGTAAGTTTTTATATCTGGCTTCCCAACTCCTACTGGAGCACTGTAAAAAATTAAAAAGAAGAGCTTTAAGTAATTAAAAAACCTACATAAAACTCAAGGCTGTGAGTTTTCTACAACTGTTTTTTAAAGAGACTGGCTAAAAAGCCCCAGATGTCAGATTTTATTTCTAAATCCTGGCATCTGGCACCATATGCGTTTGGAAATCTGAGTCCTTTGTAGGCCGTTGAGTGGAAATTGCTCCCTTGTTAATGGGCTGCTGCAGCTTTCAAGGTCTCAGGAAGCCAGAACAGTGGCTCCTGGGCCCTTGCTGTCTGGTGGTCTGGTGTGGGGACCCTTTGGGGACGACCGAGGGCACGAGGTCTGCCCGCTCCTCCCGGAGCTGCGGCCCCTCTGAGGGCTTCTGTCTACAAGAGTGTCCTGGCTGGCCCCATGCCAGGGCCACCCACAGCACCCCTCTTGGTGTCCCCTCACCACCCTGGGCCAGCTGCTACCTGTGCGCCTGAAGATAGCCAGGGTAAGGCCACACCTAGGAATTATCTCTGTACCTCTTCCTGGCCAGGGGACACTGTCACCCCCCCATCTGTCCCAGCGGGCTTTTCCCTAGGTGAGGTGTGTCTGGGAGACACCCCATGGCAGGACCATTTCCCGGGGCAGCTCCTCTGGCTGTTCAGCCCCCCATCTAAAGGGGGCTGTGACCAGATGAGGTTCATAGGTGGCTTTGCACATAGCTTGGGGAGCCAGGGTCTCGAGCAGTGTGGAACAGCAGCTGCCCTCCCTGACACCCCAAGGTGGGCGCCATTCAGCCCCCACAATTGTGCCTATGCTGGTGCTCTCTTTTGGGAGGGGCCAGAATCTCATTTTGGGGTGTGGTTAGCATAGCAGTAATGCCTTCCCCCAGTTGTCACACAGGTCCTACTGCAGAAAGCACAGTGCCCCTCATGCCCATGACACCATATTGTCCCCTGGGAAGGAGTGATTTCCTCACGTCACCAGGTGTCCGGTGCAGGTGGACTCACATTTGGAGGTCCCGCAGGCAGGCCCTGAGTAGGCAGTGGCAGAGCCTTCTCGCGGGACACAGAGCGCCCCACTGGGTCCTCCTACACCGCTCACCCGTGACCCTGTGCTTTGACTTTCAGGCCACCACATCTACTAACTGGATCCTGGAATCCCAGAACATCAATGAGCTCAAGGCGGAAATTAACTCCTTGAAAGGGCTGCTTTTGAATCGGTAGGAGGCAAGCCTGGGCTCTGGGTGGCCTACAAGTGGGAGAGGACATTGTCTGCCGGGTCCCTGATCAAGCGGGGTGTTCCCTCCCCTCAAAGCTCTTTCCCACCAAAAGGGTGACTGTCTGGGAAGCACACAGCTCCCTGGGCTGTCAGAAAGTATGGGCCCTGAGCAAGGATGATGTGGCTCATCCTGACCTTCCTGAGCCCTGGTGACCTCAGTGACCACTGTGCCCAGAGAAAGCCCCACCCAGGGCCACTCGTGGAGAGTTCTGCGACTGCATGGCTCCCACCTCCCTGCCAGCTTCTTTGGTGTCTCTGTGGGGACCGTACATTGTTAGCATTGCAGCCTTGATTGTAGGCTGCCACTGTGTCCTGCTTCGCCCAGGACTGTCCTGGGTTTGAAGCTGGAAGTCCAGTGTCCTGGAGCCGCTCCGCAAGCACGTGTCCCTATGGGGTGTCTTGCTGGCCGTGGTGGCTGCTTGTGGCCCCCCCCAGAGGAAAAGAACAAGTCCGTGATACTGTGGCGAGTAGGGATGCCCTGGGGTTGTCGGCAGGAGACCCCTGTGCCTCCGTCATCCAGAATCTAGGTGACAGCTCCTCTGTGGTGGGGCACAGGAGAGGAAGTGGCAGATGGGAAATGGTGTGTGTCCTGGGGGTGACACGGGGCTGGCGTGTGCCCCTCGGATGGAGGTGGGGCCGCTTCCCAGGGGCAGCTGGGGCAGGGTGGGGTTTTGTCCCCTTGGCTTAGGCACAGGTGGCCTGCATGTCACAGAACTTCTCTCAGAGCGTGGCCAGGCCAGCCTGACCCCAGAGGTGCTCCTGGGGGTGTGGGAGACCAAGGTGGGCAGAGCTGGCCCTTTGCACTCAGAGGTCTGGTGAAGTACACTGCCATCACCCTTGGGTTCTGATGTCCCCGAGCCCTAGGCCAGGGACCAGGCTCCCTGGGCCATCCAAGGGCTCGCACCCAGACCTCGGTGTCTGAGTCCCCTCCTGACCCTGGGTAGAATCGGGGACAGTGCTGGGTCCGGAGGGAGCGGGCCTGGGGTGTGGTGGGTCTCCAAGGCTGCCGCCTCGCCTGGGCAGGGTGTCAGGGGCAGCACAGCGTCTTGGCTGCCGGAGCCCAGGTGGGCAGTCATCCAGCCTCTTGGCTTGTCTCCTTCCGCCAGGCGGCAGTTCCCGCCGTCGCCCTCACCATCGGCCCCGAAGATCCCCTCCTGGCAGATCCCGGTCAAGTCGCCGTCACCCTCCAGCCCCGCCGCTGCCAACCATCACAGCAGCAGCGATATCTCCCCGGTGAGCAACGAGTCCACGTCGCCGTCACCTGGCAAGGAGAGCCACAGCCCTGAGGGCTCCACGGCCACCTACCACCTGCTGGGCCCGCAGGAGGAGGGTGAGGGCGCGGTGGACTTGAAGGGCCAGGTGCGCATGGAGGTGCAGGGTGAGGAGGAGAAGAGGGAGGACGAGGAGGACGACGGTGTGGGCCACGTGGACGAGGAGGACGTGCTGGGGGTGCAGAGGGAGGACCGCCGGGGTGGGGACGGGCAGATCAATGAGCAGGTGGAGAAGCTGCGGCGGCCCGAGGGCGCCAGCAACGAGAATGAGCGGGACTAGGGTCCTTGCCGGACGCCATCCAGCAGGCGGCACAGGGCGCCAGCTCTGGCTCGCTCGGTCCAGGAGGGCGGCCGGCGCTGTCTCCTCGGACAGGGTGGGTGTGTGTCCTGCAGCCTTGTCACCCGGCCTGGCACCCTGGTCTGTCCCCAAGGTGGGCGGCACCAGGCCTGGAGCTCCAGCCCTGCCCACCCTCCTGGGCAGACATCCTGTCTGGGTGCGTTTGCCAGGTGTCTTGACTAATGTGGCACTGTGCATGGCAAGAGCTCGTGTTGTCACCGTCTCCTCCTCCTCGGGGAGGAGCTGCAGTCCCCTTGGTCTCTGCTGTCTCCCTCTGTCCCCCGGGCCTGACCCGTGGCTCCTCCCCTGCCATGGACGTGCTGTGGGTCTGCCAGGGCCGGGCCTCCCATGTCCCCTGCTGCCCTCAGACAGTGACATCAAATTGCGCTTGTGCCCTCCTTGCCTGGCTCTGCCCAGCCCATGGTCAGACGCGGGCCCCGCCCGTCGTGCAGCGGAGCAGCAGCAGGGCCTCCCTGGAACATGTCCCTCCAGGTGACTGTAGATTCCGAATGTGAGATGACTGTACATAGCTGTAATAAAGACGAGTTGCCACTCCTTAACCCCTGCCTGTGGCTCCTCTCTGCCTGTCACCCTGGGGCCCAGGTGACCTGTGGGCTGGGAGGGGCCGCATTGCCCTCCTGCTGCGGCGCCATGCTGCTTGCGTGGTGTCTGTGGGGTGACATCCCTGACCGACAACAGGAGGGACCTCCGTGACTGTATATAGACCTGCTGCTGCGAGGAGTGAGGAGCCAGAGCTGCCTTCCTTAAATGGTGCACATTCCGAGTGAGAGTGGCCTGCAAGCGGAGCCTGGTCTCCTGCTCTTCCTCTCGGTGCTCTGCCCTCCCCTCCCCTTCAGCCTCCACGCCAGGCACCAGGGCTGTGGCTCCTGCCCAGGCTCTGTTCCCTCAGGCCTTGTATGAGCCAGGCCTGTGCTAAGGGCACTGCCTTGGCCCCACTCCTCTGCGGGCACCAACATGGCCCACCTCCCCTGTGGCGTTTCCGTGGCCCTGCTCCTTGCGTGGGCACTGCAACATCCTGAGAAGCAGCCCCTGGCCGTGGAGTGTGGCACAGGCCCGAGCCGCTCCAGTGGCCACAGCTCACGGTTGTTCTGAGGCAGGCGGAAGCAACACCAGCCGCTGCTGGGCTTGGGTGCTTTGTTCTGTGTCACCTCTGCTGAGGGACTGGCAGCTCTACCCTTTCTGCTTGTCACCTCTGTGACACTCTCAGGTCTGTGCTCCTGAGGGAATAAGCCTCGGTGAGAGTCACCTGTTGACCTCTTCCTTTGTCCCTGGCCTCCGGAGTCCCCGAGGAAGTCTGGGATGACCAAATGTGCCCAGGTGAGGGGGACCCGGGGAGTCCCAGCCTTAGGAGTCAGGAAACTTCAACAGGGACCCAAAGGGTGACCCAGCCTGCCCAGCAACTTCCACAGGACGGGACACCTGGGCCCGGGAACGGCACCACTGGGGAGGTTGGGGACCATTTATCATTTGCTGAGGCCCCTCCTGATGGCACCAGAGAGGGAGCCCTGGACGGAGCAGGGCCTCAACCATGACGGTGCCTCCACTATCCCCGGGTCGGCAGGCTAGAAGGTCCTTGAGCAAGCTCGGGAGCAGGTCCTGAAGCATGGGGCCCAGGCCTTTGCCCCCTGGGTCCTGAGCACCAAGTTAAGCTTTTGAGGACAGAGAGGCTGGCGTGGCTTCAGGGAGAGAAAAACCCCTCCCCAAAACAGCGTGAGTGCTGCCCTAATAAAGGCAGCTGCTGGACGAGGGCAAACAGCCTTTGAAAAAAAGCCTTTCATTAGAAAAATAATGCATTTCATCCAAATAAGGTAAAAATATTTGGAATGGGGCAGAAGTAAGCAGCAGGCAGCGCCTGTGAGGCCCTTTCTGGAAGGGAGTAGATTATTAAACTCAATTATGATGGCTTTTTATAAAGTGTCCTTTAGGAAAGGACCAGCCCTAGGCCCAAGGGCCACAGGCGTCGGCCTGACCCCCTTGTCTCTGACCCAACGTGGACACGGCCTGTCAGTGAGGCCAGGCTTCATTGTGCCACCAGGAGGTGGCCGGGGTGGGGGGGCACCTGAGCAGCCTCCCTTTGTCCTAAGTCCCCAGGGCCCCTCAGGTGGGACGGGGGGATTGGGGTCAGGGAAACAGGCTGCTGCGTTTGTACCCTGAGAGTTTTTTGACTGTGGACCTCTGTATCAGATGTGTAGGGAAGGGAGACAGTACCTCCGCCCCTCAGTAGCCGAGTGTTTGTTGGATATGGGTCCCTGTCCCTGTCCTTGTCTCTCTGGGCTCAGCACAGGTGATTGTCCCCAGGGGATTGGCCTGTGGGGAATGGGTGTCACTACTGCTATGGGTGCCATAGCGACCCACAGTGTGGCAGTCAGGCTCTGGCAGGGGACCTGGGTTTCCCCTACAGGAGGCCCCAGGGCTGGGCTCGGCTGTCGGTGGCTCATTTTCCCTCAGAGTTGGCTGCACCTCCTGGGAACTTGCCTGTCTGTCCTGCCCCACAAGGACAGGTGGCCATAAGGCCCCCAGATCCAGTGCTTTCTATTTTCTTTTTGCAATATTGAGGTTTGCACTGAGCCACATCCCAGTCCCTTTTATTTTTTATTTTGAGATGAAGTCCCTAAGTCGTCCAGGCTGGGCTCAAACTTTTGATCCTTCTGCCTCAGCCTCCCAGAATGCTGGGATCAAGGCGTGCACCACCACACTCAGTGGGTCCTGCCCCTGCATCTCACAGGCCTGACCTGCCTCAAGGCCACTCACGACAGTGGGTGGGCAACGTGTCCCTCCCCACAAGGGCAGGCAGTTGGGCTGAGCTGCGAGCCTATGCAGCTGGTGCTGGCTCTTGCAGGAGGTTACAAAACTCTTGAAACTGCCCCAGTTTAGCGAGCAAGCATCCCTCTGCTGCAGCTAATTAAGTCCCGGGATGAAAACATGTTTTACTGCACTTCCCACTGAGCCCAACAAGCTGCAGGGAGTGGTCAGGCTGCAGCCGGGCACCCTTCCGGCTCCAGGGTGTGGTGGGCGGGCCCACAAAGAGGGCATGGTGTCTGATCAGGGAGCAGGTGGCTGAGGCTTGGTCAGGGAACCCCTGGGACTTGGGGGCCCTCCCTAGGCCCTTCCTGTGAGGGGCCCAGCTGGGAAGCTGGTGTTGGGATCTCCCAGCCCCCTGGCATCTGCTAGGTTCTGTCCAGGCCTAGAAGACCTGGCGGGCAGAGAGAGTGATGGCTTGGGGGTCTGGTCAAGGCCAACAAGCCACCCTGGGTCCCTGTCCTTCCTCTCCGGGGCCACACAAGCTGACTCCCAGGCCGACCTGATGCCTGCTGTCCCCTGGGTGCCGTGTGGCCACAGCACCTGCCACCACCCCTCAGGCTGAGCTTGGGCTTGGCTCCCAGCTTTCTCCGGCCCACAGGAGGCCGCGTGGCCCACCAGCGCCTGCAAGCCTCCTGTAATGGTTTTAATTTGTTGAACTTGTGTTTTATCCCATAAATTAGTCACTGTTTTATTTAACAGAATCGAGATATCCACAAACAATAGGCGAGTTCCAACTTGAACATTTTAATAAGACCGAGAAAAGTCTGTATTTTGGTGTCTGCTGCAAACATATTTATGTAAATAGGCTGTGGCTGCATTCCAGGAGGAAGCAGAAGGGACTGGTCCTGTGGGCGGCTGGGCTCCTCCGTGGGAACTGACACTGGGCTGCTGTTGAGGGGCAGAGCTACCCCTCTGCATCCCCAGCAGTGCCTGAGCGTGCCTGGTACAATGAGGGGACAAGTGTGTGGCAGGAACCCATCTCATGAGCCCTGCACAAGTGGGTGTGGCGTTCCCCTTGGTGGGAGTGTGACAAGCCAGCAAGATGCTGCCCGGCACAGAGAACTGGGGTGGATGCCATGTGTCCCCTCCCCAAGGCCCCGGCAATTCTGACCACCTGGAGCCAGCATGGGGATGACAGGGCGGTAGGGCCTCAAGTCCTGGGAGCACAGAAGACCCCACCTGACAGGAGCCCTGTGCCATATGGTGCCATCCAGGCCTGCAGCTCGGGCCCGGCCTGGGGGCCACAGGCCCAGCCCTCAGCCCCTTACTCTGCCACCGCGTGATCCAGGCAGCAGCCTCACCAGCATCCGGATTGGATCTGGGTACACAGTGTTCCAGCCCGGGCAGGTCCCTGCAGGAAGGAGGAAGGAGTGAGGGGGCAGAGGGGGCCCTGCCAAGCACCAGCCCCATGGCTCTGGCTGGGAACAGGAGCGGGCTGGCCAGAGAGGGGATCTGGGGAGGCCTGAGGCTTTACTGCCACCTGGTCCTGCCCAGAAGTGGCCTCAGGCAGGGCTGAGCGAGCTGCTCTCGCCCATGTGGAGGCACGGCCGTATTCCCACCACCTGTCCCCAGCAGCCAGAGGACCTGGCCTGACGTCTGGTGGTGAAAGTGTCTCTGCCCCTCCTTCCTGCCAGGCTTGAAGCTGACCAGCTCCTCCCCTCTCCCTCTGGCACACAAGGCCTGGCCACCCTATACAACTGGGTCGATGCCAGCCGCTTGGGGGAGGTTTTAAAAATAAAAGATAACTTGATGGGTTTTTTTTTTCCAGTTTTTATTGAGTGAAAATGTCAAACCTTGCATCAGTCATGCAAAAAAATCAAATAAATAAAACACATATATTAAATTTCTAATAGCACTAAATTCAAGTGGAAAAATATTCAGTTCTTAATAACCAGGTGCCGAGGAGACCAGATTCAAGTAATCAGAGCACACGCTGTTCAGTTCGGTTTCACGGTCTGCATTTTTTTGTCTCAAAACCTCTCTCTATATCTCTATAGATCTCTATATGTATATACATATAGATACATACACACATATGTGCATACATATTATTTTATATTTATATATATACACATACATAGTTATAAAACATTAAAAAGCATTGGTGGGTCAAGCATCGTTTTCCCCAAAGAAAGAAAATAAAACAAAAATTACACATTAAAATTCAAAATGAGCTAGCAATGGCTTATAGTCCTAGTGTGCAATATGAAGGTTACAAAAGGCTAGACTTCGCACTGTCCGCATCTTCTTTTTTCTTTTTTTCTTAGTTTGATTTTGCTACATTGAAAAACATTTTTTTTTTTTTCCTTTACAAAACTCCTTCCACAGATGCAGGGTCCCATGGAGGGCGGAGTCTGGGCCAAGCTCCGCCACAGCACGGGCACCCAGAGAACTGGGGGGGGGGCTCTGAGGGGGGGTGGGAATCAACCTACTTCCTGTCTGACCTGGTACGCTGTGACCGCTCCTCCCTCCCTCCCCACTCCTCTCCAATAAAGATGGCCTGGCTTTCGGGCTGTGGGTGGCATAGAGGACACACACACACACACACACACACACACACACACACACACACACACTAAAAAAGAAAAAAGGAAGGGAGGCTAAGAAAAAAAAAATGAAAAAAAAATCGAGGCCAGCCTGACTACACAGTGAGTTCAAGGCCAGCCTGAACTGCATAGCGAGACCCCCGTCTCAAAAAAACAAAGGAAGAAAGGAAAAGAAAGCCATGTCCCACAGGGGCAAGATGCTGGGAGACCTCTGGGGCAGGCATCTCTGTTCACGCCCGGCCAGGCCTTCATGGCCCATGTGGCACTCTGATGGCTCCACCACCCCTAGGAAGGGAAGTTTTGAAAAGGGGACCGAATGTGGGTGGGCCGCGCCAGCAGAGAAGCACCTCAAACGAAATAATAAACTGGAACAAGAATAACGCCCTACACAGCCACACATATAACAGGGAAAACCCAAATGTTAAGTTAGCTACGAACTTGGATCAAGAGTAAGAGTCTGTTTTCTCTACAAAATTCAAGTGAGAAGCTGGGCTCACGCGGCTCCATCAGTGCTAGAGTGAAAGGCAATGGCCTCAGACCGCTAAGGCCTCGAATGGGCGCCACCCACGACCGGCGGGGACATTGCACTCAGGCCTCCAGGCCCTGGGCTGGTTGGGGCGGCCTCGCGCTGCACCCACCTGCTTTTTATTCTTTTTGTTCTATGTAGAATAATAACCTTTGCCGGAAAAATACTGTACAACTTTCTGGTATCTTCCCATTCTGAATATTAAAGCCAAAAACAGTCGCATCCTTCCTATTTGGACCGCCGGGGTGGCCGAGACCCCGGGCCCCACCTCTCGGGGACACAGCCTGCATTTGGGGGGGTTGGGCCGGTGGCGGTGTCGCCAGCCCAGGGGAGGGGACAGGTGCAGCAGCCAGGCCTGGGGCTTTGGCGGGGTCCCTGTAGTGTGGCCCTGCTGGCCTTTAGCCGCCCTAGGGGCCCTGCCAGAGGCTAGGTCGGGTCCCTGGTCCTCGCTCTGCCCGGATGGAGCCCTGCAGGTCCCCTGGGGCGCCCTGTCCTCCGGCGCTGAGCTGCTCGTCTGGCCCGGAGCACCAGGGGTCCCCGCCTCTGTCCTGAGACGGACTCG